TGTGATAATATATTTTGTGTGATGATCCAGGGATCCAAAATGGTATTTTTGGATCAAGTACATCAAGGAGTATATGTGTATAAAATTTCAAGTTAATCGGACTCCGTTTGGGTGGTCAAACGAGCGTTGACCGCCAAGTCAACTACCATACCCGACCGGGTATTGACACATACCCGACCGGGTATTTGCCGAAGAATTGACCAGGGGGCTACTGTCTCCTATACCCGATCGAGTATGGGCAGATACTCGATCGAGTATACATTGAAAATTAGCTTTGGGGGCTACCGCCTCCTGTACTCGACCGAGTATGAGTAGATACTCGATCGAGTATTGGTTTATACTCAAAACGGGCAGTTTTGAGTAGGTTAACGTGGGCCTTTCAGGTGGGACCCGCCCACGTTGGATCCTAAGGATTGTTATATGACTATAGGGCTAGGCATTGTCATAGTTAAAGGAATGAAAGGTTAGCCATATCCAGGTTAGGATTTGGTAGAGGATAGACTGGGGATTGAGTGCCCTTGGATGGTAAATGATCCAGAATACTCCAGGTGGGGTCGAGTACCCTTGGACGGTAAATGATCCAGAATACTCCAGGTGGGGTCGAGTACCCTTGGACGGTAAATGATCCAGAATACTCCAGGTGAGGTCGAGTACCCTTGGACGGTAAATGATCCAGAATACTCCAGGTGTGGTCGAGTACCCTTGGACGGTAAATGATCCAGAATACTCCAGGTGGGGCCGAGTACCCTTGGACGGTAAATGATCTTAAATACTCCAGGATGGGTTGAGTGCCTTGGACGGTAAATGATCCTAAAACTGTAACACCCCGGCCTCGCAGGACCCGAGGTAGCTACTCTAGACCAATAGTACTGTCCTCACAAACCACCACGCGCCTTTACCGCGCACTTTGTCCTCACTCATGCGCGCCCTGAGAAACTTCCCAGGGGGTCACCCATCCCAAGACTACTCTCGTGCAAGCACGCTTAACTTTGGAGTTCTTGGGTGCTGAGCTCCCTTAAAAGGAGATGCACCTCTGTTGGTATGAGTAGTACTATTAATCCTCTTAAATTAATCTCAGGTATTACAATCACCCCCACTTAGGAACGCAACATCCTCGTTGCGCCCATAAACCAATCTCAATCATATCCCAGAATCTTTTCCCCTGCTAAGTGCCCGCCCGATATCCAACGGATCATCACACTGTCGCAGGGTTGCTCTGATACCATTTGTAACACCCCGGCCTCGCAGGACCCGAGGTAGCTACTCTAGACCAATAGTACTGTCCTCACAAACCACCACGCGCCTTTACCACGCACTTTGTCCTCACTCATGCGCGCCCTGAGAAACTTCCCAGGGGGTCACCCATCCCAAGACTACTCTCGTGCAAGCACGCTTAACTTTGGAGTTCTTGGGTGCTGAGCTCCCTTAAAAGGAGATGCACCTCTTTTGGTATGAGTAGTACTATTAATCCTCTTAAATTAATCTCAGGTATTACAAAAACACTCGGTAGTATGAATCGAAGGTAGACTATAGCTTGTGAGCTAGGTAACCGGGAAAGGAGTGAGAAAAATCAGGTAAGAACTTTATCTCTAAAAGACTCTTTAAGGTAAATGACCTACGGGTTGAGTATTTTACGAGTATATATACAGTATGTATCATCGGGTGGATGAGAGACATCTATATATATGTATCACCCTATTTTTGGGTCTCGTGTCTGAAACATTAGTTATTCTTCATATAGCATGCTTGTCACTAGTACTTCTATGGAGTACTGACCCCTCCGGGGGCCCTCACATTTTTCAGGTTGAGGCTAGAGTCCTACTACCTACACCTTTGCCTAGGGTGATCCTTCGAGGAGGAAGACGTGGTTCGTGCTTCCATTCGTATTTTTGAAATCTATAAACTGCTCATGGATTTTAGAACAATGTTTTCATTAAAACAGTTGGGAGCCTGCGTGCCCGTGTTTGCCACGTGTGGCTAAGTATCAAACATATTATTATTTCCGCATTTGTTTGATTATGATATTGATGTTGATTGTATGTGTTTACTAATCGGTTTGACAAAAGAATCAATCGGACGCCTTGTGCAATTCAATAGGGATGAACTGTTGTTGTTCTTATTGGGTTGTACGACAGTTGTCTACGTGGCTCGGATGCGGTCCGGGGCATGACGGATCTATGATCCATGACAAAGTCTGCATAACAAAGGAAACAAACAACGTTAGCAAACAAGGGAAACAAAACGGGAACAAGGATGCTTAGGAGGGTACTTCCATCGGCTTCGGCGGGCACGCCAAATCCGGGCCATCAGCCTCCTCGAATGTGGTGGTCATCTTCGGCCATATCTCAACGTCGTGCTCTACATCCCTGTACACAAAGTACCTCACGAAGCCGAGGGCGGCCATCTTATACTCCGTGATGTATTCCTTCACGCTCCTCGACCCACCCTTCAAGAACGCCTCCACCTGGGCATCAATAAGCGCGCTCTTCGGCGCATCATGAAGACTGAATCTCCCGGTATGGCCGAGGGAAGGGAACTCTGTACCCCCTTCGCCCAATGACACAAACACAAACTTACTCTTCCAGCCATGGATGGACGTAGGAAGGTCAGTGAAGGTCCTCTTATTCTTCACCTGCTGGAGGTTGCCATATTCGGCACAATTTTTGTGGCTGCCTCGTCCAATCTGGTACAGGTTCATGAAAGTGTCGTCGTCAGCGTAAAACCCAACTCATCGCAACGCAACAAAAACCCGACGATCAGTGAGTAAGAATTCGGGGTCAAGAGGGTCGGAGGAAGCTCCACCATGTCCAGATATTCCGTGATGAATGGATGAAGGGGGAACCTCAGCCCCTTAGCGAAGCTCATGGGGTATACCCCAAAATAACCCGGCGGAGGACGAAGTACGTGGTCCGTCGGCTTGGGGGACCTGACCCTACGAAACGGCCCCACGTACATCTGGGCAACCAAATACTCAGCGGCGCTGCTCTGCGTCCTGATAATAAGGACGTTGATGAGATCCAAGTAGGAGAAAGCTGGACCTTTCTTCGGCCGGCGCCTCCTCTTCGACGGGGCAGTCCCCTTAACGGCAGAAACCGGCTTCGGGCAAGGAATGGTGGCCGAAGTAGACGCTCCATCCATGACGCAGGAGACCCCTATGTCCTCGCCCTTAGATGATGAGGCGGCCTCATCGTCTGCAATTTCATCGTCCTCCTGCTCCCCCGATTTGAAGGAGCTCAAGTTCTCTATCTCCTCGCAAAACTCCTCCACCACTCCATAATCAAGAGACTTCGCAGAGGCCTCATCATCGTAAGGGTAGTACTCTTCGTCTAAGGTCTTCATCATAACAACTACTAAAGCCCTAAGGGGAACTACTTCAGATCTAAAGGCGGTTTTTGGACTAACACTAGATCAAAGCCTAAGGAAGCAAAGCATGCAAGAAAGCGGAGAAAGGTTTGATGAACTGACCTTTGAAGTTTTGAAGAACGGAAGAACACTCGAGCAAGCTCCCTCTCTAGAAATTTGGGCAGCACTTCGTTAGCTCAGGATGCAAATGGGGGACTCCCTTCGGGAGGGGGGGGTATTTATAGACCTCCCCCAACGGTCACTACATGTGGCACCCTCCCATTGGCCACACCAACGGCCACCACCTCCAGGCCCAATAAGCTGCCACCGGTTCAGAAGATGGGCCATGCCCACTTCCAGCAGCACCAGTCCAGTTCCAACGTACCAGCAAGCAACATCCATAATGGCCAAACCACTCAACGGGCACACTAAGGATAGATGTGAGCCTCCACGCTCATAGGACACGACTACGTCGGCCCTGGTAGCCAAAAATCGTTTCAACGGCTGGTCCCATTTCAAAAGTGTGCCCATATTGACATAACACGCTACCAACAGTGAGGCTCTTTTAACGACCACAAAAACAAGGTGGAAAAGAACCTAACAGCCATCGGCCTTGTATAAAATCATGATGATAACTTCTTGAAAGCGACCTGCGTCCAAGGATTCTCCCACAAGGTTACCTTGGTCAGGAATCGCCAAGGGGTTGGATTCAGGGGAATACGAGGATCCCGCTTCGGCGTAGGGTTACACCTTACTCCTTCACCCTTCATTCACTCTTCGGACTGAAGCAGTGGGGGACTGGGGGACTGCACTAGCCTCTAAATGCAAGAAAGGACGAAATTTAAAATCCAAAAACACACTAGTCCACAACTACAACAACACTATATCATCTGTGCACCACAATTTCCAGGACCTGGTGGTGCACCCTCAGCCGCAACAAAGTAAGCAAACAAGGACGCATAGCCCACCTCCCAAAAACGTGACATGTGTCGTCCCTTGACGCGTGCCACTCAACGGCCTTGAGATCACGTACTCCACTCTCGGCCAAGATAAGAAAATAGGTACACAAAGTCCTCGGGTCCAAACGCCATCATCATCCACGAGAACAAAATACGCGCAACTTCTTCTGGATCAGTGTTGTTATCGTCCTCAAAGCCATGGACGCCAAACTATGAATATCATCACTTCGGCCTGAAATACAAAAGCAATTATGGGGGCCCCTCGGCCAAAACACAAAAGGCAACCGCCAACGACCAGAAAGAAGAAACATCACCCTCATCGGCTATTCAAATCAAGGACACATGTCGGCTACTAAGCCAAGACACTCATCATCCTCAAAACAAACAAACACACACCATCAGTGGAACAATAGCCTCCTTCATCCACAACGAGGACAGACAACAACCAAACACGAAGAATAACCAAAACAGGGAATGGTCACAACTCACAACGGCCAGAACAAAGAACGGCCGTAACGGCCAAAACAGGGAAAAGTCCGCAACGTTCCCACATCGTCCAGAAAACATTGAGACTACGGAATCTACTCTCCCTCACTTCGTCTGCGTCTCAGCTCAGAGAGTGAGGGACTCCTGATGGAGTATATGGGTCTAGACCCCATGACCCACATACTCAGAAGAATAAGAAGCAGGGGTGGACCCAGGAAATCCATCTTGGAGGGGCGGTAATTTAAACAAAAAAATGTAGACGCTCTAAAAACTTTTATTTTAAATGAAGCATTAAAATAGTACACAATAGGCAAAAAATAGAAGAAGAGACAATGTTATTACAGAATAGTAAAGTTAATACCATAGAATTGTGCTCGACGCTCCTTCAACGAGATAAATTCCTCAATCACGTCTTTTGAGTTAAAAGTTTTAACAATTTCTCTTTAAATTTAAACAATAAGGTTGTCTGCAAGATACTCATCCTCCATTTTATTGTGAAGCCTTGTTTTTATAATTTTCATTGTTGAAAATGATTTTTCTGTTGTTGCTGTCGATACAGGTAGAGTCAACAAAAGTCGGACCAATCTATCAAGAAGAAAATACACTTTTGACATCCCTATCTCCGCTAATCCTTCACAAAGTTCACCCATTGTAGACAAATTCGCCAACTTCGAATGATTTAAAACATTTAACTTGTAATGCTGCAATTGAAACCTCAAGCCTACCTTCTCCTGCTCAATAAAATCAAAGGGGTAGTATTTATCCACTAAAGAACAAATATCATCAATGTTAAAGGACCTATATGAGTCCTTATGATCCAAAGCAAAGCTAAGAGTAAAAAGATCCATTATCTGTTCACTGAATCTGCTATTCAGCTCCAACAATTGTGAATCTATAGCTGCGTAAAACATATCAACCCGATAGTGACGTTCAATACCAAACCCTTCTTGATCATTGCGTTTGTGTTTTACCACATAAGGAGACTTCATATTAGGAGCTTCAATATCATGTTTTTTGCAAAACTCTTTAACAATTTCTAAGAAGTTATCCCATCCACCTTCCCTTAAATTTTGGATCAACATTTTGGTGCTTGACACCAAATGCATAACATTTACTATGTCTTGGGTCTTCTGTTGTAGATGCTGACATAGAAGATCCGTAATGCCCATAATTTCTTTAATAAGATGCAACAAGAAAACAAAATCAAAAGATTTAATCTTCTAAGTGCTCCAGCTGCATCTCCACGAGTAGAATAGTTATTACCATTCTCTTCAACATCTTCTAAAACAGAACAAGTTGCAGCAAACATCCTAATCAAACTGCAAACAGAACTGAAATGCGAGCTCCAACGAGTTTCCCCAGCTCGTTGTAATGTACCAACCTGATTAAGTCCTCTGCCTGTTTCAAGCTCACAAATTTCCAACATTCTTGCAATTTCAAGTGCTCGCGCTTCCATTAATTCATCATTTCATTTGCAAGAAGAACAAGTCACATTAACAATAAATACTAAATCGGTGAAAAAATTATGCACATATTTCACCTCTCTAGAAGCAGCAACCAATGCTAATTGCAACCGATGTGCTAAGCAATGAACATAGTAGGCATAAGGACAATCATTTAAAAATAATGCTTTCAACCCATTCCATTCTCCCCGCATATTGCTAGCACCGTCGTATCCCTGACCACGAATGTTTTGAACATCAAGACAAAATCTAGAAAGAACTCCACAAATTTCTTTTTTGAGAGTCAATGATGCGATATCTCTAACATGCACAACATCAAAGAAACGCTCTCTCATGAACCCGTTTTCATCAACAAATATCAAAATAATAGCCATTTGCATAATTAGTTGTCTCAAATTGACTTTGAGCACACAAAAACGTGGGGTGGCCCCCACTCATGTGGGAGGTCATCCCTTTGTGTCCCGATGTGTACAGTCGGTCCCGAAAGTTATATTTCTCGGACTGTTTTAATTACATTTTATTTTATCGGGTCAAATAAAATATAGCACACGTTCCCAACCCATATGGGTCCTTAGAATGAATATACATTCCTCAACTTTAATTTAGAAGTCTCTGAAACCCATTTCAGACTGTTATCCAATAAATTACCAATACCGGTATATGGGCCTCGTTTGTCCAACCGGTCAACCTTAAGCCCTTTCCATGGCCCAACTAGTATATCTACTACCATATACATATTATCTAGACCAAGCTGAATATAATATGTGGTCCCAGAAATATAGGGTGGTCCCCACTCCCGATGTGGGCCCTACGTGAAATTCACTATTCACGCAAAAGTAACAACAAAAATTTACAACCTCGTAAATTCTTTAGTCATTTCGTAAGGTTCAATACATGCTTTACATAAAAGTAAATATAATTGGGGACGGTGTTACAATTTTTTGGAGCGTTATCCAAGACAACACTAGCAACTTGTTCATTATATGATGCTAAAAGTGAAACCATTTCAAGAAAATTATCTCGATTTCTAGAACTAGAGGATTCATCATGACCTCGTAGAGCACATCCTTGCGAAGCCAACCACCGAACAACATCAATAGAGGTCATAACCCGTAAGTGGTTACCTTCCTTCATCTCTAGAGTTTGTGCTTCGATGACTTTGTCAATATGGTGAGATTGATTCAATAAGTCTTGACAACTTTTCCAAAAATTATTGTGTGGAGAACATGGATCTTGGCCCACTTGATTCAAGAAAGCACAATTAGCCCTGTCATTAACTTTTTTCCAACTATTAAAACCTTTAAGAGTGAAAGCATCAGTTCCATGATGAGTTATAGGTTTTGCGAAAAGGAAACATGGAAAGCAATATGTTGCATCTTGTGTGGGGGAATACTGTTGGGTGTGTTTCGGAAAATAAAGAAAATTAATTAAAATAAATGACTAGAGAAAAACAAGAAAGGAGATGAAGCAGAATTAGCCAAAGCTCGTGCTACGCACGATTTCCTTAAAACGTATTTGTTGCCTCCCACGGTGCTAGGAGCGTTGCAACAATCGTTTCCCAGGATACGATGACTACGAACTAATGTTTGAGCACACAAACAAGAGTTCCAGCGAACGAGAACCAAGAATGAACACAGAAGGAATTTTTGGGAGTAGCTGGAAGAGTTTTAAGCTCAAGAAAACGTGAGGAAAGTGTTGTGCGTTGGCAAAACGTGTGTTTGTTGCAAAGCACCTGCCAGCTATTTATAGGAGGATTTGTTGTGTGTTAAATGGGGTGTTAATGGACCTGAACGTTGGACATCAATGACCAGTCCGTTGGGCATTGAATCGTCCATAAACTATCCATTTAACGCTGCATTAAAAGAGAAGAACGTTGGGCATTAATTGTTGTAACGGAAGAAATGCGTGACAGAAGACCCCAACAGAACACCCCTTGGAGGGGTTCTGTCCGAAGCCAACAGAACACCCCTCGGAGGGGTTCTGTCCGTAGCCAACAGAACTCCCCTTGGAGGGTTTCTGTTCGAGGCCTTCTGTCCGAAGCCAACAGAACCCCCCCTTGGAGGGTTTCTGTTCGAGGCCTTCTGTCCGGCATTCGTGTCCGCAGGTCGCCCGCGCACACGAGTCGGGGTTTTTCTTCTCCGTTTCGGGATTTGATCGGCACCCCCCCCCCCTGCGCGTAAGAGAGAGCCTTTCCCTTTAGGAATCTTAACTCCTTAAAAGAGGCTTCCCTTTATAAGGGGGTGAAAATCCCTTGAGTTTTTCGGTGTGGGATAAAACACACTATAAACTCATCATTATTCCCAGTTTTTTCCATTTCAACGAGTGAACTTCGAGAATCAATTTCTCATTCACCCGTTATCCGTTTTGAGCGTACCATATATCGAATTGTAGCCCTTAACAAGGACAATCCGAAACCACTTTGACCCGACCCAAATCGGAAGTGGACCCCACTCAAATAATTGCCCCAAAATGACCATTTAATGCAATTTTTAACACATTTTTCCAACAATCCCCCACATGAATGAAAATTGATTTCCGAGACTAAAAAGACACGAAGATAGGAGGACACGTTGTGTTCACCGGATGATCCTTGCATACGGAGAGGTAGGTTTTATCCTTTGAACCTTCCGTTGTAAAGACACGTTTATTTACTGGCTGTCTAGTAGACTCGATGTCCTTGAACTATACTGCCGTCGTGTAAACATTGACTTATCTTTACACAAGAACCTTCCAACTTTGTTCCGTTCTCATGGGTGTGCCCGTTTTGGCCATGGGTCACCATCCTGGTTCTGCAAGAGTTTCTAAAGAACTGAGCCTTTACAGTTCTCCTTTGAAGCGACCCTCTTCTCTCTCACATAGGTGATTCTTTCGCGAGTATCCCGCATACTCTTCCAATGTTATCGAGTAGATCAACATTTTAGAATCATTAAAGCAAACGTTTTTTTTTTGCTAACCTCGTGCGGGAGTCACTGTTTTAACGAGGAGTGGGTAGGAGTCCGGGACCCCCACAGTGACCATCCTTCGCTCTATAATTTAGTTGTCCCTTTTGAACCTAGGACCAACTAGGTTGGGTATCCACTATAGAACTTTTCAATTCACGGGCTTTAGTCCCATTCCTCGTGACAACTTCTACAACAATTCTCTATCCAATGTCTTGGTTAGCGGATCCGCTATGTTATCCTTTGACTTCACGTAGTCAACAGTGATAACACCCGTTGTGAGGAGTTGTTTAATGGTGTTATGTCTACGACGAACGTGTCTAGACTTACCATTGTAGAGATTGCTCTGTGCCCTTCCAATTGCCGCTTGACAATCGCAATGTATGCATATTGGAGGGACAGGCTTCTCCCAACTTGGAATATCCTCGAGAAAATGGCGTAGCCATTCAGCCTCTTCAGTGCACTTATCCAAGGCTATTAGCTCAGATTCCATCGTGGATCTAGCTATTAACGTTTGTTTCGAGGATTTCCATGACACGGCTGCACCTCCCAAAGTGAAAACATATCCACTTGTGGACTTAGAGTCCTTTATGTCGGATATCCAACTAGCGTCGCTATACCCTTCAAGTACAGCTGGATATCTTCCATAGTGCAGTCCAAGGTTTTGGGTTTTACGTAAATACCTCAAAACCCGTATTATTGCCTTCCAGTGTTCATCACCGGGGTTGCTAGTATATCTACTTAGCTTACTAACCACAAAGGCAATATCAGGCCTGGTACAACTCATTAGATACATCAAACTTCCAATAATCCTAGCGTATTCTACTTGAGAAATACACTCTCCACGATTTTTGGTAAGATGAGTGTTTTTATCTAATGGCGTCCTTGCCTCTTGATAATAATCCTTATTAAATTTAGTAAGGATTTTATCAACGTAATGGGATTGGCTTAGCGTTAGACCGTCAGGTCCTCTAATTATTTTAATCCCAAGGATTAAATCGGCTAGCCCCATATCCTTCATGTCAAATTTAGAATTTAACATGCTTTTGGTAGAATTAATCATTAGATTATTGCTACCCACGATGAGTATATCATCCACGTATAAACATAAAATGACATAGCCGTCTACCGTGCTTTTCACATAGACGCATTTGTCACTTTCGTTTATTTTAAACCCATTAATTAACATTGCATGATCGAACTTTTCGTGCCACTGTTTAGGGGCTTGTTTCAATCCATACAATGATTTAATTAATTTACACACTTTCCTTTCTTGGCCTGGAACACGAAAACCCTCGGGTTGTTCCATATAGATTTCTTCGTCTATATCGCCATTTAGAAAAGCGGTTTTTACGTCCATTTGATGAACTTCCAAATTCCGCAAAGCGGCAATCGCTAGTATCATCCTAATGGAATTTATTCTCGTCACGGGAGAATACGTGTCAAAGTAATCATGGCCCTCGCGTTGCTTGTATCCCTTGATTACAAGTCTGGCCTTATACTTATCGATGGAACCGTCTGGTTTCATTTTACGTTTAAAAATCCACTTGGATCCCAAAGGTTTACATCCCGGAGGGAGATCAACCAATTCCCACGTGTGATTTTTTAGGATAGAGTCCACCTCACTTTTGATGGCTTCTTTCCACATAGGACCTTCAGTAGACGTCACGGCTTCCGTATAAGTCCGTGGCTCATTTTCTACCAAACATGTTAGAAAATCCGGTTCATTTTCTACCATACATGTTAGAATATCCGATTCAAATTCTACCAGGTAGGTGAGAAAATCCGGTCCGAAGGATTTTTCGACTCTAGCACGTTTGCTACGTCTGGGTTCGGGTTCTTCTCCGGATCCCTCGCTAGTATTTTCCATAGCTACGTCAAATGTTCGTTTTGACGTGCTAGGCCCTTCGTTGGACTTGCATGGAAATACATCTTCAAAGAATGAAGCATTCCTTGATTCAATTATTGTGTTTTTATGTACATCCGGATTATTCAAATCGTACACTAAAAACCGATAAGCACTACTATTTTGTGCATATCCAATAAAAATATAGTCCACCGTTTTTGGACCTATTTTTATTTTCTTAGGTGTTGGTACAAGCACCTTAGCAAGACACCCACACACTTTTAAATATTGATAGGAAGGCCGTCTGCCTTTCCACAACTCGTATGGAGTTTTATCATATTTTTTCCGGGGAACCTTATTTAAAAGGTAATTGCTTGTCAAGATTGCTTCGCCCCACATATTTTGTGGCAAGCCCGAACTTACTAGCATCGCATTCATCATATCTTTCAATGTGCGATTCTTTCGTTCGGCAACACCGTTTGATTGAGGTGAATAGGGTGTGGTACGTTCGTGTACTATACCCACACTAGCGCAAAAGTCACCAATTGGTGCTTCATACTCACTACCTCGATCACTCCTAACCGTCTTAATCCGTCGATTAAGTTGGTTTTCCACTTCATTCTTATAAAGAATTAATTTATCGATTGCTTCGTGTTTATTTTTTAATAAATAAACGTAGCAATAGCGAGTGCTATCATCGATAAAGGTAATAAAATATTTATTACCGCCACGTGTTTGTATTGATTTAAAATCACAAACGTCACTATGAATTAATTCAAGTGGTTCCGTTTTTCTTTCAACTGATTTGAAAGACGTTTTCGTTAGTTTTGCCTCTACACAAACTTCACATTTGTGCTTCACATCAATTGTGAATTTAGGAATGTGTTCCATGTTAATTAATCTACGTATAGAATTAAAATTAACATGTCCTAGTCTACCATGCCACACATTAGAAGACTCAAGCAAGTAAGCAGAAGGTATTTTATTATTATTATTAATAATAGTCATTACATTGAGCTTAAACAGCCCATCAACTGCATATCCCTTGCCCACATACATTCCCGATTTGGACAAAACCAGTTTGTCCGACTCAAAAACCATGTGGAAGCCATGTTTGTTCAACAACGAACCGGAAACCAGGTTTTTGCGTATTTCCGGAACAAACAAGACTTGGTTTAGAGTCAGCTCCTTGCCCGAAGTCATCTTCAGGACCACTTTGCCCACGCCTTCCACCGCGGAATGAGCAAAATTTCCCATCCACACCTTTTCACCATTTGATGGCTCAAAGGTCGTGAATAGCTCCCGGTTTGAGCAAATATGTCGGGTAGCACCGGTGTTCACGAACCACTCCTTGGAATTGGATCCAACGAGGTTGACCTCGGTCACCACAGCCGCAAGGATGATGTCTTCATCCTTTTGCCCACCTTGCACCAAGTTCACGTGAGAATCTTTCTTCTTCCTTGGTGCCTTGCAATCCGAGGACTTGTGTCCATTCTTGTTGCAATTGAAGCATTTTCCGTTGAACTTTGTCTTGGAAACGCCTCCCTTGGGACCGAGCTTGCTCTTCCCATTATTTTTATTTTTGGAGCCTTTAGCATGCTCCACCACGTTGGCCTTGGCGCCATGAACAATTGGGAGTTTCCCATCGTTCTTCCGGTTATCCTCTTCAATCCGCAGACGGAGGATCAATTGCTCCAGGTTCATTTCCTTTCGCTTATGCTTAAGGTAGTTCTTGAAATCCTTCCAAGCCGGCGGCAATAAGTGAATAATTGACGCCACTTGGAATGACTCACTAACCGTCATTCCTTCATCTCGAATTTCGTTGAAGATCATTTGCATCTCCTCAACTTGACTCAAGACCGTCTTCGAATCCACCATTTTAAAATCAAGGAATCGACCAACAACAAATTTCTTTGCGCCGGCATCCTCGCTTTTATATTTGTGGTCCAAAGCATTCCATAGCTCCTTAGCCGTAGCTAATTTGCTATAAACGTCGTACAAAACATCATGCAGCCCGTTCAACACGTAGTTTCGGCAAAGGAAGTCAGAATGCTTCCAAGCTTCAACCGCGTTGAAAGATTGCGCATCCACCTCACCCCCGGTTGCTACCGGCGCATCTTCGGTCAAGAATCTAGCAAGACCGAGAGTAGTGAGGTAAAATAGCATTTTTTGCTGCCACCTCTTGAAGTTTAACCCGTTGAATTTCTCGGGTTTCTCCACAGAGTTGCTTGGCACGGTCACCATAGGGATAGCCCTTTGGTTGGCCAAAGCAGATGCACCGCGTTGTGAACTATTGTTCACCGGTGCTCCGCTTTCAGAGTGATTGTCGTTCAGAACATTCTGCCCAACACCAATCTCGTTTTCTTGAGAAGTCATTTTCGTTGTTTAACGTTTTTCCGAAAACACAAAAATTAAGTTCGTTCACCAAAGTGACAAACTACGTTTTTAGATTGTTTACCGCAGTACAACAACCAAGGAAAATACGTTTTAAGATTGTATCCGTATGATACAAGCTCAACAAATACGTTTTAAGATTGTTGGGTGTGTTTCGGAAAATAAAGAAAATTAATTAAAATAAATGACTAGAGAAAAACAAGAAAGGAGATGAAGCAGAATTAGCCAAAGCTCGTGCTACGCACGATTTCCTTAAAATGTATTTGTTGCCTCCCACGGTGCTAGGAGCGTTGCAACAATCGTTTCCCATGATACGATGACTACGAACTAATGTTTGAGCACACAAACAAGAGTTCCAGTGAACGAGAACCAAGAATGAACACAGAAGGAATTTTTGGGAGTAGCTGGAAGAGTTTTTAGCTCAAGAAAACGTGAGGAAAGTGTTGTGCGTTGGCAAAACGTGTGTTTGTTGCAAAGCACCTGCCAGCTATTTATAGGAGGATTTGTTGTGTGTTAAATGGGGTGTTAATGGACCTGAACGTTGGACATCAATGACCAGTCCGTTGGGCATTGAAACGTATCTCTTGAGAGATAGATTTTTGGACGGCATTCGTGTCCGCAGGTCGCCCGTGCACACGAGTCGGGGGTTTTCTTCTCCGTTTCGGGATTTGATCGGCACCCCCCCCCCCCTGCGCGTAAGAGAGAGCCTTTCCCTTTAGGAATCTTAACTCCTTAAAAGAGGCTTCCCTTTATAAGGGGGTGAAAATCCCTTGAGTTTTTCGGTGTGGGATAAAACACACTAGAAACTCATCATTTTTCCCAGTTTTTTCCATTTCAACGAGTGAACTTCGAAAATCAATTTCTCATTCACCCGTTATCCGTTTTGAGCGTACCATATATCGAATTGTAGCCCTTAACAAGGACAATCCGAAACCACTTTGACCCGACCCAAATCGGAAGTGGACCCCACTCAAATAATTGCCCCAAAATGACCATTTAATGCAATTTTTAACACATTTTTCCAACAAATACTCCAATCAATGAAACTTTTGAAACCAAGAAAACTGAAATCTTCGAGGACGTTTCTCATCGGATAGGGGATACTTTGCCAAATGTATTTGATATGGCCCCATCTCCAAATATGCTCGAATAACTTCATCTCTTTCATTAACAGGATATTCCCATATCTGAGGGCGTTTTTCGGGATCACGTTCTAGATTCTTGATATCAAATGAAAGACTAGAACAACCCAAATATTTGGAAGTATTAGTAACTTTCACATTTGCAGTTTCCGCATCGACCGGATTACTCGGATTACAACTCGAATCCACGTTTTTTCTCTTAAAATGAGAGTAAATGCTTGTCTGCTTCTTCATCTTTCAGTTATTCATTATATCCTTCACAAAGAAATGAAAAAACTACTTCAAAATAATGAAAAATAAAAGAAATACACAAAGACATAACCATCTAAAATTGATAAAATTGATTATTTAAGGACTAACCATCTAACCCTAACACTCTAAAAGGCTAAAAATTATAACACAATTTAACACAATCAACACAAAATACTTGTAAGAGAGAAAAAGTCTAAAAGGTAAAAATGCTCTAACTGACCTGCGCCATAGCCGGAGCTTGGAGGCAGAGCCAGAGAGAAGCACCGAGCACAACGTGTCGGCATGGACAGTGGACGGCGGAAGCACGGTGTGGACGGAGGTCGGCGGAGCAAGGCTTGGCTGGTGGCTTCGCGAGGTAGCGTTCTGCGTTCTCCGTTCTCGACGACTCGGCTTCTCGGCTTAGCGAGGTAGCGTTCTGCGTTCTCCATTCTTTTGTTCTTCGGTGATTGGCGAATTGGCGGAACTGGGAGAAATAATTAAGCCCCCTTGTGGGCAGGTGGATAAGCAGTGGGTTGGGCTCTTTTGTGGTGGGATGGGAATAAATAATGAGGTGGGCTGATATAATATTGTTTCCATATTTTCTATTTGTTTAGCCTTTTAAACAATTGGGTTTCTACGAGTGGCTGTGCTTTGGGGGCGAAAATATTTGGGGGGGGGGGGGGGGGGTTCAATTTTGTTTGGAGGGGCGAAAATTATTTGTTAAGGACTTAAGGAGGGTAAAAAAAATTCGTATATATATACACAAAAAAAAATTGTTGGGGTGGTAGCCCCCCTGGGTATGTACTACGGTCCGCCCCTGATAAGAAGCACAACTGTCACCCAGTGGGGCCTCCGTCGGCCAGATGTCCCTCCATCGGCCAGAAAGATATCAACTCAGAACATGGTCCATAAGCCGGGAGAGCCGGGTGTCCCCGTCGGCCGTGGCTCCGTCGGCTAGACCCTCGTCGGCCACAAAGAGCTCCTCAAACCGGATTTCATACTCAGTTATTTCTACACTCTTTGTACTCAGCCCAATAGTGGCACAATTGTAAATGGGCCTCCCAAGCCCAAGACTTGGGAGCCCAACCCGCATTCCCTTTATAAATACTCCTCTTGGGAGTAGTTGTAGGGGGTTCACAAATCATTATTAACAATCATTTATAGCACTTCTCTCTCTAGCTTTCACTTCTCTCTAGATAATTACTCTATCAACATGTTGTTTTGTTTGTCATGTACGCTTACTTTTGCCAGGCTCTTGCATTAGGTTGGGGCGATGATGGGTTTACTCTAACTACGTTAGGCTCATTTAAACCCACTACAGGATCATCGGGCCATATTGCTTTTTTCTGGGCGATTGACTCTAAGTATGGTTCGAGAGTTGGTGATTGAAAGTGGTCATTTTATCTTCTTGTTCTCTTGCTGAATGCTTTGATATCAATTTAAGCCGCCTTGTTCCAAAAAAAATCTATTTCTTCAAGTTTTTTGCTAATAAGGAATGAAAGATATTAATAGTCAAACTTGTGCGTTGGTAAATATTAAAAGTGTATTCCTACATTTAAAAAAGAACGGAAAAAATATGAAGTACTAAATTGTCCCGTAGTTCCGCCCAAGTATATCCGTGATATGGCAGAGAACCAGAGATGGTACAATCGAGTACTAATAGGAGTACTAATTAAAGTGGTTATTTGGTTTGGAAGGGATTAGTACGTTTTGGGAAAGACGCTATTTAATTCAAAGCTGGGTGCTACGTACCCGGCCCTATAACATTTGTCTGAAGATAAAGATCTGAAATTAAAGCTACAACCCAATTCAAAAACAAAACAAAATGTCCCAAACATCTCTTATCCCTGCGGCGGCGCCGCTGGCCGGCAGAGGCAAACAGGAGAGGCTGACCATCGACGATATGCTCCAAAAATACTGCGGCGAGTTTGGGTGGTGGCAGTTGAAGCACTTCGTGTTGACCAGCTTGGCGTGGGCCCTGGAGGGCTTACACACCATGGTCATGATCTTCGCCGACCGGGATCCCGGCTGGCGCTGTACTTCTTCTACCGGCTCTGCGAGTTGCCCGTCCCCGGATTCCGGCGTGTGCATGCTTGACCCGGGCTCGTGGGAATGGGAAGGCGGCCCGGAAACCTCTACTCTGTCCGAATTCGGGTTGGTGTGCAGTCACAAATACCGGGTCGGGTTGGTCCAAGCTTTGTTCTTTGCCGGCTGCATGCTTGGTATGTTTATATGTCTCTTACAAAATATTTCTATTTTGTTTAATTATATCATGGTAATCTTTGGATCTACTTTTTAAATTACGTTTGCGTACTTTTTTATAGAGCAGAAAAAGTGTAGAAGTACGTATAAAGTTCTTAAAGCTCCAAATTGCAATTTTGAAGCATATTTTGAAAAAACAAGCTTCTCAATATGATTTAATTCTATTTTAGACTTTTAGAAAAGAAGTAGAAATAACATATACAATTTCAAACGACCATATCTTATAATCCGTACTCATAAGAAATTGTTCGAAGTTGTAGTGAACCATGAATAAAACATGTTCGAAAAAGAACAGCAACACAAATGTTCAAAGGTGACAACTCGAGTCCTCATTTAAAAATGGGGTACCGTACCTATCATTTACTTAGATTGGCCTATATGATTAGGTGACAACTCCGATACCTACCTAAAAATTGGGTACCGTACCTATCATTCTCTTGATTTGTCCAAATCATTGTATCATTTTTAATTTAGATTAAAATAATTCAACTGCAGCATTCTGATTGGTCCATGTGGACAAATGTATGGTACCTTAAGGGTACCATGGAATCTACCATATCATTATATCATTTTTAATTTTGATTTAAATAATTCAACTGCAACATTCTCATTGATCCATGTGAACAAAGGTATGGTACCTTACGTTACTATAGAATCTACCATGTTCAAAATTATATGTAGTAAAAAATAGAGCTAATTAATACAAGTATTTTATTACTAATTTTTTTATTTGAAATACGGAGTACTAGTGTACTACCTTTAAAAAAATACATCGTACTATGGTAACTTTTAAAAAAATTATGAGTATTACTCCGTATTTTGTAGTGAGTCTATCTTCCCGCCTATTTTAGTGATTCTTGGTACATGGCTTATTTGGAATTTTGATGATTTAATTAGTTATCACCAAAAGCTTGTTTGGTATTGTTGTTTAAATAAGCGATCAAATAATGTCACAATATTATACTACGTAAAAACTAGTCAGCGTTTTGTTTTCTCGACTAGACGTTATGCATATGAGCCTCTTTTGTTGATTTTGTTTTCCTGATTATCAGCCTTGTCGAACATTTTTTTTACAACGGTTGATTTTGTACGCTGAGTTGCGTAATAGGGAGTAATTCAAAATAAGTAAGTTTGAAGTTATTTTTCTGATTGAATTGACGGAAATTTTTGTAGACAACCATTGTAATTATTATTTTTATTTTATTAATCATCGAATACAATCAATTCATTCAAAATTTCGTAACTTCTTTCAATATTATGAGAGAGACACAGAATTATACATTATTTTATTTCAAAGCCGGACCCATAAACTGGGCAGATCAAATTGTAATAGATCAAAATATTTTTCTCATTTTCCCTTTTTGCCAGTTTGTTGTCTTACATTCATTTTACTTTTTTCTTACACAACTACAATCATACTCCATCCGTTTCTGAAACAAGTTCCACCTTTCCTTTTCAGGCAAATTCAAAATTAAGTTTCACTTTCAAACATTTCCTTATTATCTACATCAAACAGTGTCAAACAGTGCCAAACAGTGTTCAAACAGTGCACTCCACAGTAAAGTCAAATTTATTTTCTTAATATGTGTGAAGTCAAATGTGGAACTTGTTAAGAAATTGGAGGGAGTATATTTCTAATTTATTCCACTTTTTTAATAAGATTGCCAAGTCAAACCGGGAAGTGTTTTTTGGGACGGAGGTAGTACAATATAAGTGCTCTACTATTTACTCCAAAATTGATAGATGAGCCGGCCGTTTTACTGTGCACTTTTTTGTGTACATTTTTTGGACACTTATATGTCTACGTATCTACACATACAGTTGTCTATATAGACAAGACAAGTGTGTCAAAGATCTTACACCAAATATTTTTCATTGGGAGATACTAAGTATCCGTTACAAGTTAATACTCTTGTTAATATCTTTCTTACGGACTACATAATTTTGTCAACATTCGTATATAGCCGTCCTAAAAAAGTTTGGTATTTCCATTCATGTAATAAATATGTAAATATGATTGATATATCATCTGTATAAAATTTAAAAACACACGTACTACTCCCTCTGTCCCGCTAAGAATGGGACAAGAGGGAGCGACACACAAATCAATAAAAAAATAGGTTATGTGGTTGATATTGAATTAATAAAATAAGAATGATTTAGAATCACACAAATTTTACCAAATTTGATATGAGACAATCTTAGTGGGACGGACTGATAACGTAAAACGAGACAATCATAGTGAGACGGAGTAGACGGAGTAGTAGTTTTTACACACTTATTAAGTTATTAGGTAATTAGGTAATTCAACTTTGGCCAATTTTTTATATTTTAATTTTCGTTTTATTTTGTCCGAATAAAATAACGTGAGGATTGAGGAAGATAATTTACGTCAAAATCCACGATATTTTTTCATCATTTACCTCTAACATTTAAAGCATTACCCAAAACAAACAAAAAAAAAACTCCCTCTATTATCCAAATACTCCGTATGTTTTTTGGTTCATAGTAATAAATGCAACAATCATTTCATAGACCTATCCTCATTATATAGGCCTATCTTCTCGTATATTTATGAGATGATAAACCCCGTAGGTGGAGTTATTACGCTGGAATATTTTTTATATTTAATTTACTCTCGATCTGATACAGTACACTATTTTATACGGAGAAAATATATAGAGTGCCACGGATTCGAATCCCGGCAACTGCGATAAATGATTACTATGCTTAAAAATGGATATGGCCTCTGCAAGTACCGGAGACAAAGTCTCACTCTTATCTGTCATATTGTGATTATAGTCCAATTTACATCTTCCCAACGTATCGTCTGGTCGGTGTTGGGGCCTTTGATGGGGTGTCATTTTTTTGTCAATAAAATATTTTAAATGATTGAATCTTAATTACTACGTATTCATTGCGACAATATGTTCCATAATGAAATACTCCTTCCGTTCCAAAAAGGTTGGCCAAAATTGACTTTCACGTGGATTAATAAAGTAAAAATTGCGTGGTTGAAATTTGTGCAAAGGAGAGAGAATTAATTTTAGCCACATATTCATTACTTTAAATGGAAATGACAAATCTTTTTGGGACATTCAAAAAATGAAATTTGGCCAGACTTTTCGGGACGAAGGGAGACACAAGAGAAAAATGAATATGTAGTACTCTCCCGTCCCAAAATGATGGTCCTGTATTTCCTTTTAGGGATGTCCCAAAATGATGGTCTTGTTTCCTTTTTTAGTAAAGAACTAAAAGTGGATTACCATTTATACCCCTCCTTTTTAGTGAACAGTAAAAGTAAAATGATGAACGGTACAATGAAGTAAGGTTCTTTAGTCTTTCTACCTCACTTTCTTAATCTTTGTGCCTAAAAAGTATAAGACCATTTACTTTTAATCTTTGGGACGGATGAATATAAACTACTTCATTTACTTGGTTAATTACTCCGTCTTTACACTCCCGACCATTTACTTTTAATTTACTTGGTTAATTACTCCGTACTTTTTTGGATTCAGGAATAAATTTTAAAATCAAGAGGAAACATTACTCCGAATTCCGAAATGCTTTATGACTTTTCATAAAAGCGTTAAAATGCTTTATGACTTTTCATAAATTTGTTATGTCAATCACGGAACCAATTAACGGTATCCAAGTAATAATAAATAAATAATTGTTATAAGTTACGGATTATAAAATAATTAATTACTTATATGAGTAAATGACAAAATTTCCTAGAGAATAAAAAATGATAAATTTAAAAAGCATAAAGGTCGGAGGTAGTGTATTTCGTATAGTCTATTACAGTCCGTGAATCTTATAGTTGTAGAGATTTTACAACCATGGGCATAATGATGATCTTGGACTGATTGCATCTTATATTAGATCATGTACTACCTCCATTTCAAAATCAATGACACCCTTTAATTTCACAAAGATCACATGAAAAAATTTATTGAACAGTATATTTACGTAAAATACACTGTTTTGACATAGTTTTGTAATGTTTAGTACTCTATTGATATAGATTTGTTTACCAAACGAGAAATGTGACATTCATTTTGAAAGAGAATGTGTATATCAGATTTGACGTTGTCTGGATTGAGTTTAATTCTAAGTGGAGTTTGATTCTCGTCCAAATAAAGTTTATTTAAATAGTGTAATTAGAGTTTTGGGTGTATGTGGAAACGGAATGCATTTTTATACTCCCCGGTCCTTAATTAACTTTAGATTTTCATTTTTAGGCCGTTCCATATTAAACTTTACACTTCCTTATTTTGCAAACAAATCTACACCAAACAGTACAAAACGGTGCCAAACAGTGTCAAATAGTGTCAAACAGTGTACTCTAGAGTAAAGTCAAATTTATTTCCTTAATATGTGTGAAGTCAAAACGTAAACTTCATTAAGGACCGGAGGGAGTAGTAAATAAGGTTCAATCGAGTTGTGTAAATGCGATGATCTTAAATATGTGTAATTAAAATGTATATGAGGAAAAAACGTGAAAAACCAAATACATACTCCGTATTTGGTAAATAACTAAATACGGAATAATTATAAATATTGGAGGAAAAGTTAAAAGAGTTTAAACTTTAAATAGTGATACTCCATAAAAGTTTTCAGGAAAATGAAATAAGGAAAGAGTGAAAAACGTTTACAAAGTACATTTTGAAGAAAGCGAAAGGTGAAAAAAGAAAACTTTAAAAGAAATCGGAGAAAAAGGTTGACGAAAGAAATGAAAAAGCACAGAAAGATGACTTTAACGTACTTATTCATGTGAATGGCATACTTATCTGACAATAGACTGACATTACAAGTACTCACATTATTAGGCATACTGTAATATCTATCGATCATTACTATTGTACACCTTCTTATACTAGGCATATGTTGATATTTTTTGTTTCTGATTTTCGTTCACAAAATGACATATTTTGGTTATGCACGTTATTTTCATAGATAAAATAAGACATATTTTATCTGTGAATCGAATTTACAAACCAATAAACTTTTCAACAACATGTTAGAATATAAAAATGTGTAAGGTGAGTACAAACATCATTTTTTATCATTAAGTCTAATTTTCAAGTCATACTTTCTTAGAGAGATAAGTCAAATTTACCATACATTTTTTTTAAATTCAGCTCAAATATAATGACGAATAAATGATCAAAACTAAGGTAATATATAGGCAAATACGGAGTAATGACTAATTAATACGAGTATAAAAGTATCTTTGTTACAATTATTATATTATTAATTCTACATTGTAACATCTTTGCCATGGGTGGAGCTATGGGTGGGTCAACCTAGGCCATGGCCCACCTCAAATTTTAAAAATGACTAAAGTTTTAAGATAAAAAAATTCGTGTAATTTTTTTTCTAAAAAATTCTTTGTACCGGCCCAGTTCGGCCCAGTGCCCTGGCTCCGCCCCTGAATTCTTTGCCAAATACATATAGGAGGCGTTTACTTCGCTTCTAAAGTCACTGTTAGGTTAGTAAGACAGATGAAATAAACACGCAGGTTGCTTAAAACGCTACTTACTAACCGAAAGAGGTGTTTAAAGTGCCGCTTACTAAGCATACCACCCCATGTATTAATTAAGCGGCACTTTAAGCTTTTTCATTTTCCGAATTTACCCTTACCTTTACCCATTGCCCTTACCCTATTGCTACCCCACTACCCTTCCCTACCCTACCCGACACCAACCTTCATCCCACCCCACCCCCACCCTTTGACCCGACCATACCCCACCCCCACCTTACCCCTAATCTCGACCCTACCCCTTTATCCCATATCACCTGCCCCTACCTCGACCCAACCCCTACTAGTAGGGTGTGGGGTTGGTATGGGTTGAAGTAGGGGTGGATGGTAAGGTCGTGGTAAGGGTAGGGGTAGGGAAGGGGTGGGGTCAAGGGTGTGGAATTGGGGGTAGAGTGAGGGGTGGGGTGCAGGGCGGGGTAGGGGGTAGGGGTGTGGGTAAGCGACTCAGCGTATGATATGACCTCACATATTATATTATATACTTGTGTTCATGAATGTTTGTGTGTATATATCTATAGGGTTATTTTGGACATTTTAATGTTAAACGGTGTTTTAAATCCTTTGAAGTAAACATGAATTTACAACATTGTTTATTTTATGCGCCGCTTGTTAACGCGAATATTAATAAGCATCATTTACTAACTCGTGAAGTAAACGTGTTCATAGTGTATTCACATATACAAATCTAGATGTTAGTGCGCCGCCGAATATTAGAGCAAACACCATCACTGAATAGTAGCACGGCGAAATCTTAGTAAAATTGCTCAAAATACTGAAATAGTTTAAAAATATGGCCAAAGTTTTAAAATATGATGAGTATGATATACTACATATGTTTTACGTAGTAATATTTAGACATATTAATTAAAACAGTAAAGGAATAAAAATATCCCTAAATAGAAGTTCAACATCCTATTTTGAGAAGAAAAAAATGATATATTTCTATGTAAAAAAATATGACTACATATTTTACTAAAATGTAGTAGCAACCAAACTAGAATTGTAAATGAATCGAATAATTCTGATTGGATTTGTGATTCAATTTTGAAAATGTGGGTTGAAATTGGAATAAATTATGGATACGAATAAGTAACACCTCAACCCCGTAATTAAAGTCCAAACTCCAAAGTCATTACTCCTGAATGCTCTTGAGACCTAGTTATGCCTTTACAAATCAACATGAGTCTTTACAATGCATTTTTATCATCACTCATACACACTCCGAAACTTCCTTGGGGTCACCTTATCTTATAACTACTCTCATGCAAACATGCTTAATTTGAATCTCTTAATAGATGAGTTCCCTTAAAAAAAGTTGTACCTTTGTTTACATGAGTAGTATTAATAACCATTTGAAACTCATCTAGAGTATTACATAATACAAATTTGTTTTTCAATTCGAATTATTTTCGAATACAAATACTATAAAAAACATTCGAATATGTTCCAATTATATGTATTCCAAAAAGATGTCTTATTTGATCCTATTAAAACATAGATAACTTACACAAATAACACTAACTATGTTTTAGTCATATTGAAAGAATTTTATCTACACCAATTCAATGGACCACTTTTAACAATGAGTTTTTGTTAATTTGTTCTTTCTTTCATCAGGTGCTGGAATATTTGGACATTTATCAGACTCAAGATTGGGAAGAAAGAGAACTTTAACAATTGTTTGCATTCTGAATGCTATATTTGGGTGCCTAACTGCTCTCTCCCCAAACTATTATGTATATGTACTCTTCCGCCTCCTTTCTGGTTTTAGCACAGGCGGCACCGGCCTATGCGCATTCGTCCTCGCCACCGAGCCTGTCGGCGCATCCAAGCGTGGTGTGGCGGGGATGTCCACCTTCTACTTTTTCTCATCCGGAATCGCAGTTCTCGCGGGTATTGCCTACCTTTTCAAAACATGGAGGTCTCTCTACATTGCTTCTTCTATCCCCTCCATCCTCTTTGTCTTCCTTGTCCTCCCATTCATCCAAGAATCCCCACGTTGGTGCCTCATCAGAGGAAAAGTGGACGCTGCGATGCTGATCATGCAGAACATTGCCAAATCGAACAACAAACACATCCCCGAGAATGTCCAACTTGTCCTGGACAGTGAAGTCAACAAAGACTACTCGACAAATGATGAATCATCCGTCGAGGGCATCTCGGGCTCGCTATTTGATGTCCTCCGGTTGCCCCTCACTCGTACTCGTTTGTTGGTAGCCGTGACTATAAACTTCACAATGGCTACTGTTTACTATGGGCTGAGTCTAAATGCTGTCAATTTGGGAACCAACCTTTACATGAATGTTGCTCTTAACGCCGTAGCTGAAATGCCCGCTTATTTTTTCACTGCTGTCTTGCTAGACAAGGTTGGGAGGAAGCCATTAACCATAGGCACGCACTGGTTCAGTGGGGTTTTCTGTCTGGCTGGGAGTTTGATGAAAGGGTATGGGACATGGAAAGTCATCAGAATGGTTTGTGGAGTTCTGGGAATATTTGGAATGGCTGGGACTTACAATTTATTGTTTATTTACACTGTGGAGTTATTTCCAACAACTGTGAGAAATGCAGCTCTGGGGTGTACAACTCAAGCATCACAATTTGGAGCTATTTTGTCTCCTCTTATTGTGGTTTTGGGGGGTGGAATTCCATTTGCAGTATTTGGGGCTTTTGGAATCTGCGGTGGATTTCTGGGGTTTTTCTTGCCGGAGACATTAAACAAACCGTTGTATGACACCATGGATGGGATGCAGGAGAGGGAATCAAGAGAAACGCCCTGAGGTCGTATGGAATTCTATAAACAACTTGCTCAAGATCATACAACAGAAATAGATAAAGTTAAAAAAAAATGAGTATGTTTTATTTCCAAAATTAGATTTATTCTATTCTATTGAAATATGAAAACAACACTCCCACATGTGTTATGTTTTATCCTAGTAATTTTTCTCAAATTTATATCAATCATACTTGTCTTTGAAGAAGTTTAAGTTTCATCTGATTTTATAATCTTCTAACCAATATAATGTGGACTATAATTTATCTCTCAAGCTATCAATGTCCCTTTTTTTGTTTTCTGTTTTACTTTTGTTGCAGAACTATTTCCACATTTTCTTTTGTCAATAGAGATTTCATCTAAACAGATTTAAATAGAGAGTTCCACTTCTTGACCAACAATGGCAAATCAAAGGTGAGATTTATACTTAGTTTTTTCTATTGTGAAACGTAGTTTTATATTGCAAATATAGAGATTTTTACCTTTCTTTTTAAGTAGGTATTCTTGGTCATGTGATATAGCGAAACTGCATCATCATGGACTGGGTTGATATGATGATACTCCCTCCGTCCCGAATTGAATTTCAAACTTTGTTCACCACAAGGATTAATGAATGACAATTAATGATGCTTTCTTTTTACACTTTTGCCCATCTTTCTAAAAGTAGATGTTTTTAAGTTAATGGAGAAAAAGTAAAAGTAAAGGTAAATTTGTCAGTTTACTCTTATTTACATACCTAAAATAGAAAGTGAAAAACCATTTTGGTACAATCAAAAGACGAAAATTTGCAAATCAAATTGGGATGGAGGGGATATGAGATATATTTATATGGTTTAATAAGATCAAGTAGTAAATCTTAAAATTTCTCATTTTCTCAAGTTGGTTCACATCCTCGGGTAATGTCGTGTTTAAAACTTGAAAACAAATACTCAGTACTTATCATATAGCTTATGGGTTGTGCCGTTAGTGGGATTAAAAGATAAAGATGTAGTGCAATTATTAAGAGAAGTGCATTTATGTGGTTGGTATTAAATTGATAATGATGGATAGTGTACCCGGGGGTAGCTTATCCGAGGGGTTATTGCGGGGAGTAATAAGAGAGAAGTCAGAACAAGTAAATATAGAGAGAGAAAGTATATTGTAAAGAGTGGAGCGTTTTCAGCGTGGTTACAAATGGGGAAATGGGGTGCTATTTATAGTAGCAATAAATGCCGGACAGGGACACGTGTCAAGCGTCCATTGGCCGAGAGGTCACCTCAACTGGTTGGCGCTGGCAGCCGCATGTGGCCGCATTTAATGCGGTTGTTGGATGGGACGTTGTACAGGGTACGGTGATCTGTACGCATGTGGCGTGGATATCCTGTCGGAAAAGGTGCCCTCGGCTGTAGAGGACTAGCCGAGGGATCTAAATACCGGGGACCCCCTTGGTGCCGAGGGCTCCAAGTGCCGAGGGCTGCTGAGCTTCGCCATTTTCCCAGTAACTTTGTTTTGCTGTCTTGGCCCTCCTGTGAGAGTTAGAGCCTTCGGCCAGGGGGGCGAAGGCACCCCTGGTGCGCATTGTGGGCTGCTTGGTACTCTGGGCGCCGGGATTTGGGCCTGTTGGGCCTTTATTGGAGTAGTAGGAGTCTGTGGGTCGGGGGTTCCCGGGCCATATACTCCATCAGAAGTCCCTCACTCCTTTTGCCGAAAGGTACTTGAGGGAAAAGGAGTAATTTGTGTTTGTCTCCTGCCGTTGTTCCGTTCGTAGTTTGTAGAGTTGTGGGTAGTTTGTTGTTTGTTTATTCTGCCGAGGGCAGTCCCTCAGTTACCCACATGTCGGGACTTGAGGGGTCATGTTTGTGATTTTTGTGATTTTTCCCGAGGGGGTCCTCCAGCCCCCCACTCCTTGAGGCACTTGCAAAGTGGTGAAAAGGAGTAAAGTAGTTGCGTTGCTGTTGTGGGCCGAAGGCTGACGCTTTTCGTCTTATTTTGGGGGGATGCCTCGTTAAAAACCTCATTAGGAAAAACCCTCGTGGAAAAAATCCTAATGAGGGAAAAAGAGTGCACCGAATTCCCCTAACGATGAATCGAAAATGTGAAACCTTGGTTCAAAATGGAGAATGATGGTAATGCCGAAGGCTCTCCTTGTTCTGAGGGCTCATGCGTTGATTAGCCGGAGGCTTGTTGTTGATGTCCTGGGAGGTGCCGAAGGGGAGTCCCTCAATCTGGGGATCGAGGGCGTAATGAATGTGGGTAGCAGTCGAGTTGTTACCGGGGGGTCCCCTGTTTGTTGATTATTTGGTGATGAGGATATCCGAGGGCTCCCATTGCCTGTGTGCTGTAGGCTATCCGTCAATGAGGCATATTCCCCGGGGGCTACCCCGCCTTTACAGCGCTGAGGGGGGATCCCCGAGGGGTGGCCTGATATAAAGCCTTGGGCTTCTGAAGGAGTGATCCCGAAGGCGTCTGTTACGTACTGTGTGGGGCACAACCCGGGAGCGTCTCTGGGTAAGTGTACCCGGGGCTCCCCTTGATGAAGTGGAGTGAAGTAAAAAACCTGGGGGCTCCCAGAATATAGCCGTTGGAAATATAGTCGTTGGAATATGTAACGTCCGGATATAGCCGTTGGAGGGGGGTTGCCACGTGGTGCGTGCTCGTTGGCTGCCTGTGGGCGGGCGTCACCGATTGGGTGGAAACTCGGTTGGTAATGATGGCAGTCCAACCGGAGGCCCGGTTTCCAGGCCCAAGCCCAGATTCCAGCGCCTATAAATACCCCATGGCCGGCTTCCTTCCCCTTGTGCGAAATCATTATAGCGAAGCTCTGCCAAAATTTCTAGAGAGAGAAACAGCAGCCCTCGATCAAATTCCCATTCCAAGGTCAGTTCTCCACTCGTACTTCACCTTCCTAGCTAGCAGTCTTTGTGCCTTAGGCTAGGAGATAGAATTTTTTAGAAAACCCTAGTTCTTCCGAGCCCTCGAGCTAGTGAGTAGATGTCTTCTCAGAGCGATTCTCAGGACATATCGAGGGATCTCTCGGTGGAAGAGGAGAGCTTCTTAGACGCTGGGTCCTCAAGTGAGCAGCCCTCGGCCCAAGAGGACGTCGCGATGGCGATAGAGGTGCAGAAAGACTTGATGGCTGAAGTCGAAGCCGAGGGCTTCGAGCAGGAGGCGGAGGACGAGGAGCTTGCCTTCGCCGTGCAAGTTGCAGAAGAGGAGGAAGAGAAGGAGAGGATGAAGGTGACCGTGGCCGTCCTTCCCCCTCGGGCTGTTAGTGAGGCAGGGAGCTCTCGGCCCCTCAACCCGACCCCGATAAGAGTAGCCCCCGGGAACCAATCGGGGAAGAAGAAGGCTGCCCCCAAGAAGAAAAATGTTGCGGCTGATCTGGGGAAGCCCATAGATGTGCCCGATGGGTACTCCTGGCTAAACACTGCTGCCCTGGAGATAGGGTCGAAGGCTGATAGGGAGGACATGTACGTGACCCAGCTGCACGTGGGGCCCTCGGCTGTGGTGGTGGCGCCGGGCCCAGACGACGTTCTTTCCCGGGCCCCGAGGGGTGCATTGCTGTGCACATCCTGTCGGTGTCAATGGGGCTCCGGTTCCCCCTGCACCCATTCCTTCGGGAATATCTCTGGTATGTGGGCTTGGTCCCCTGCCAGTTGACGCCCAACAGCCACTCCTACGTGGCGGGCTTTCTGAACCTCTGCCGGGCCCGAGGGGTGACCCCTAGCCTGGATCTGTTTTTCCAGAGCTTCAACCTCTGTCGAGGGGGTCATGCGAACGCCGAGGGGTTCGCCAATCTGCAACAGGTGGCTCGGTGGAAGTTATTCACGGAAGCGCCCTTGTCCAACAAAGGCTGGAAGGAGAGGTGGTGTTACGTCAGGATTGCCGAGAGCCCATTCCCGATGGAACTTAGGGATCGCTTCCGTCGGCATCCGAAAGTCGGAAGTGCTGCTTTGGAGAAGGATGGCTCGATAATAGCCAAGATCCCGACGGGCCGCACGAAGCAAGTGTCCATCAAGGACTTCACTGCTGACAAGGAGCTCTTTGCCCTCGGCTTCCGCAGATATCGCTTCCTTGGCGAAACAGACGAGAAGTATCCTGTGCTTACAGGAGGTAGTCTCCGAGGGCTTCCCCCCTTTTTCCTTTTTGTACTTAGGATTTTCCCCTTTTCTTTTCTTTCGCTCTTTTCCCCTTCGGTCTGACCCTTTTGTTTTTTGTTTGCAGGAGTTAACATTGATGCCGGCAAACTCTTCGCCCTAAAGAAGAAGAAAGGCAAGTCCCAGGCCCAAAAGAAGGACCCTTCGGTCCAACCGCCCGTGGGAGCCTTCTTCCAAAAAGAGGTCCCGGAGCCCTCTGCTGCGGAGGGGGTCGTTGGTGTGGCGGAGAGGGCCACTAAGAAGAAGAAGGGGGGCAAGGTGGTTGAGCCCCCGACCAAGAAGCAGCGGGGCACAGGGGGCACTGTCGCCAAGGATGCCCCCTTGGTGGTCATCGAGGACCGCCCCTCTCCGGACCCCCCGGTTGATGCTGCGGTGACGGCCCAACTCAATCTTCCCTTGAGAAGCCCCCCTCGGGAGATCCTGCAGCTCTCTCTGGCCCCGGGGGCTTCTGTTCTACACGGCTCGGCGGAGCCGAAAGCTTTCCTGAGGGGGATGACCTCAGTGATGGACAAGGCTGCCCTCTCCACCTATGATGACGAGGCCCTCGAGAACAGGATCCTCCAGTCTTCATTAACTGTAAGTTTGCTCCCTTAGGTTTTGCATTTAACTTTCAATATTATTTTCATGTTAATCTGATCCCTCCTCCTGTTGCTTTTCAGGCTTGCGTAGCCCTCAGGGAGCACGCACGGAGGCTTGAGCAATAGCGCCTCCGGAAGGCGGAGCAGGACCGGGAGATGAAGGAGCTCGTCCTGAAGAACTCTGAGGCCGTGAAGCAGATGGCAATGCTGGAGGAAGATCTCCGGAAGGCTGCCGAGGGCAAAGCTGCAGCGGAGGAAGCCAGGCAGGAGGCTGAGAGGGCAGCCAAGAAAGCTGCCGAGGAGGCGGAGATAGCTAAGGCCGAGGCCATCGCCAAAGCCCGAGAAGAAGCTGTCGCCACATTCATGGCCGAGGGCTGAAAAGCCGAAGATAGGCGGCAGTGGGTGGCCTCGGTCGTGGAGTCATCGGTAGATGACTGGGTGAAGGGCCCCGGGGGAGACTGTATGGCGGAGAGGGGAGATAGTTACTACCAAGGGGGTGAATTCTTCACTCAGCACCTTGTGTACCGGA